TTTCTTCCTGTAAGACGCATCAAAGAGATTTAGCCATGCTCTGATGCGGCTCGAACCTCCGCAGAACAGTGACAAAACGGGAAAAATACTAACGGCGGCATAGCATCGGCCATACTCCTCCCAGGTTTTGGGTTGCAGGTGAGCGGGGCTTCTGCTGTTAATACGACGTTTGACCATCGCCGAGAGCTTCATGACTTTAGTATTGGTACCTTTAGACTTGAGTCTCCAACTGTTGAAGAGAGTGAAACCTCCTTGACTGCCTTTCGCTAGGGCATGGTCGGGTGAAAGGTGTTGTCGTGAGACGATCTCGGTAGCAACGACTGTACTGGTCTTGGTGCTGCCGGGCTTCGGTACGAATGCTCGAAAGGCGATTTCCCGTATCTTGGCAAAGCTTTTCTTCTTCTTCGCAGGGGCAAGTCCTGGCGTTCGGATTACGGGCTCGTCCTCGCTATCGCTGAAGACTGCAACGGCTTCCTCATCGAGCCAAGAAGTAGCGGGGGACGCCGGACTAAGCCGAGAATTGTCTCCATATAGACGATCAGAGACGGGAAGGGTGGGTGCCGTCGCCTTTTGCCAAAAGTAGTCAGCCGGACGCCGCTTAGTATTCTTTCTCTTAGGGACGAGAAATAGAGCAGGATATGGAAGGCCGAGACCGAATGGAGTGGCGATGACGTGCGACATGGTTTCAGTCAACAACAACCAGTTTGTAAATAGCGATTGAGTGGAGAGCCTGATATATAAAAGCGACGCGAAGAGCTGGCAGCACAGTTGTAACCACCCAAGGGGGCTTAGAAGGTAAAAAGATTATGCAAAGGGAAATATTGATGAGGGTGCAAGGGCTCAGAAGTACTAGAGTTATACGAGGGCGGAAAAAAAGAAAGGCGAGACATGGCCTCCAGAGAGAAGCGATCTATGTATATATTCTCCACCTCATTTACTCGAGTGAGAGCCATAAACGACAGATTTTTAGCCCAGGATCCCACCAGAACGACACCTCTCGCCCTAGAATGAGAATCATAATTAAGGAGAAATCTGGACGAGCGCAGAGAACAGCGGGAATTCAAGTCCGAAAGCTGCATGGTAGTCTCCAGATCAGTGCTCTTACGCCAAAAGAAGTATAAATTGCGAGGCGAATCGCAACACTGATGATAGATCGAGCTTCGTGTAAGACCTGTCGAAAGCTGAGACCTTATCGCTCTCGCTTTTCCGAGCGATCGAGGAAAGCTTCACAGCAACAACCATTTCGTTGCAGATGAACCGCAACTAATGCACCGACCGGGAGCGGGACCGGTTCGATCGGGTCCCGGCCAGGATCTGGGTATGGTCGGGTTGGCCCGGTCATATGGTAGGGGGCAAGTTTTGGTGCAAAGAGTATCAAATCATATACTATGGTGTACGTGTAGACTCATACTGACATATAAACATGACATGGGTAAAACATGTAATTTTTCCATGTCATGTTTGGTCGAAATTCATCCCCAAGCCAAATACCGTACGACACGACTCATACTGACACACATCGACATGGATTTTTGATTTACAAATCCCGTGTCGTAACATGAGTCATCTCGTACATCGTACCGTCCGGGAAGTGTCATACTGACACAACATGACACCAAATGTAAATTTCTCCAGAATATTGCGTTCGGATCGGACTATCCGATAATTGAACTTCATCAATTTCATTCAACTTTTCCACTTCACCCCACAGCCTCTTGACAACGTCCTTTTATCTCCTTCAACTCCTCATTTCCATTTCTCAGTGGTCTATTTTTTAATTTCATTGCAGATTTTTGTTATACTTTCCTCTGATGTGACAGATGATTTGCCTACTTTATAATGGCTATGGGTGGTGTTGAGATTGAGTGATGACTACAACATTAAGATTGAATGTCCAATCCAATCATTCTCAATTGTTATATGATGTCAATATACACTTTACCAAATGGCAAAAGAGTCAACAACAGATCATTGTGGTTTATGTCAAGCTTTTTGATTGACTGTTTGGTAAAGCGTAGAACCGACTCTAGCTTTTTGGATCTGCCCCTTAAAAAAGCAGTGGATCAAAAAAGTGTTTTTGTGTAACACTTTTTGGCAAGAGTTCCAAAAGGGCCCTTATCTAGGGCCCCATCTTCTTTTGCAAAGGTAATTATAAATTAGAACAAGTGCAAAGTGAATTACAAGTTAGAACTAGGGAAATAAATCAAGAAACAATTTGAGGAGAGAAACAATAATAAACATCTAAAAATGACGCAGACTTCTTGTTCATGTTCTATACTTCTCCTTATCACTGATCCACAGAAAAATCTCATCAGTTAAAGATTCCTTATAGTCAGATAGCCACCCACTTTCAGTGTCCATCCCACACTTGGATCATGATAATTAGGCTTGCGTAAGGTCTGCGTCAAACCCTACCCACAAGAATCTGGTGCGTGAAGCCAACCCAGTCTTGGGGATGACAGGTACAGTTGAACCTCAGCAGTGACCGTGAATCATCATGATCCAAAACCAATTTGATAGAGGAATGGAGATCAAGTAGTTCCGCATTCACATAGTGAAGAATGAACATGCAAGATCTGATTCCATCCTCTATCAAATTGGCCTGTGAGACTTCTGCGTGTACTGGTATCTGACCATCATGGAAGAAAGAATTAAGTTGTATCTCACATCATCATTGTGATTTAAATGGATGAATCTAAAGATAAAAAAGTTGCATTACTTTGAAGAAATTGAAATGAATTGTTTTGAATTTAATAAATGAGATGGCTTGTTTTGATTGTTTTGATTAGAAACTAAAGATTCAGTGTAATTTGGTTTGATTGAATGATGAACAGTTGAGATGATTGAGTTTAGGTGAATCAGATGGAGACAATCGATTTTGATTGGATCAGATGGAGTCTGGAAATGATCAATATTGATTGGATCGGATGAAAGCAATCGATTTCGATTGAATCGGATGAAAACAATCAATTTCGATTGAATCGGATGAAAACGATTGATTTCGATTGAATCAGATGAAAGCGATTGACTTCGATTGAATCAGATGGAGATTGTTTTTGTGCCTAATCACAAAAAAATGTTAAACCATTGTTAGCTAAGAAATAACAAATGGATTGAAAGGGGGTGGACTGAGAAGAGGAATCTAAACCTGAGAAAGAGAACAGTCCAATAATTGAACAGAAAAGAAAGTGACTTTTGATGGAAAATTGATGAGTTCCAAGTTGAATATTGTGAGTACTTCAAAGATAGAAGAAGTTGAAATACTTACTCAAAGAAACAAAAGTGAAGGAGGGAATGTTTGAGTTGGTAGGTGGGAACGGTTGACTATGTACCGGTGGTGAATCGGGTAAAGCTATTAGATGCAAGATAGTGTCATGTTTTTGTCAGTATGGCACTTCTCGGCCATCAGACCGTCCGCCATGACTCATGTTACGACACGGTTTTTTTAAATCAAAAATCCATGTCGATGTGTGTCAGTATGAGTCGTGTCGTACGGTATTTGGCTCGGGGATGAATTTCAACCAAACATGACATGGAAAAATTACATGTTTTACCCATGTCATGTTTATATGTCAGTATGAGTCTACACGTACACCATAATATACAAACGACATGTTTGTTTGTCTCTTTGTTGTAGACTAGATGCTAGATATCTTTTGGAAGGGCTAAAGACAAGAAGAAAAATTGAAAAATCATATATCTATCATATATTTACGGTTTTTTTGGTTTTTTGAGCAGATCACATCACTGGTCACACTGGGGGCGCAGAAAAAAAACGCGCCAATAGACGCGCCTCGCGCCTAGGCGCGCCCAAAAACTCGAAAAATTGGTGGGCGCGCCCAAATTGGGTATGGGTATCCAAACCTAACAAACACGGCGAGGGGGGGACTGTTAGGTTTGATTCTACCATCAGATATGCCCCCAGGTTTATTATCTGATTGATCTAAAAGTCTCAACAAACAATCAAACAATGAGATTGATGTTGTTGAAGTATCACCAACGGAGAATACTCCACTGTTTTCGGCTCCAGATGAGCTTGACGAGTTTGAACAAGGTGTGGACCGCTCACAAGAAGAGGACATGTTAGTCAACCCAGCCTTAGATATGGCTTTTGATGACAGGTTTATCAGTTTGATCTGACTTTCTTTCAACCACAAGCTTTTGAGCAAGTCCAGTCTAATGGTCTCAGTGCACCTGGAGCTTAGAGCCCCAAAGATGTCAATTTTGACTAGTTGTATCTCTCCCGTCATCTTACGTTTTTGTCACCGGTATTTTTTGTTTATTACAGTATGTACTTTAAGCTAATTTTAAGATCTGAATTTATCAAAAGACCAGTCTTTCTCAATTTTGGCTCAATTTTTAATTTAAAAAATCACGCCTGGCGCACCAGTGGCGCCTAGGAGAGAAGGTGCGTAGGCGCACCTTCTACAAAGAGGCCGCGCCCCCAGTGTGAATCACTGGGACTAGCGGACCTGTGAGGGTTGGGTATTCAAAAGAATACTCAGGGCTCACTAAAATTGGCAAGGTGGGTTGGTAAATTTTGTTAATTAAGTTATATTTCAAATATAATGTATTACAATAAAGTTATAAAGATAAGAAAGAGAGAAGGAAGAGGGGAACTGGTCTGTTTGGGTGAATCCAGACAGACTACAGTTAAATGACTCCTTAAAAGGAGGTTCAGGATTTAATTATAATATAATATAATTAGTGAAAGCTGGATCCAAGGCTTTCCTTCAATCTTCAAAATGACTGATTGAAGAGTGATGTGTAGAATCACTAGTCTGGTTGTTATAAAGTCACCAACTTATGGTTATTCAAAAGGTACACCAACCTTGAGTTGATATAGGTCACTAACCTGCAGTTGTTCAGAAGGTACACTAACCTGTGAGTTGATATAGGTCACTAACCTGTAGTTGTTCTGGAGGTAACTAACCTGATGTTTATTGGAAGGTCACTAACCTGATAAGGGGTTTCTACTTAGGGGAAGTAGGGATCCAGAGGATGAAGAATAAGATTACTTTATCTTTTAGTCAGGAAGCTACCTTAAAGAGATGAAGAGAATCACTAGTCTTATATTATATAAGACTTTTGATTATGTACTTCAAAAGAATCTTTAAAGGGTTCTTTAAAAGAGAGGTGTAATAAAAATGCTTGAGGAAAAGATCCTGAAGGCTGAGAGAGGAGAGGTTTATATACTCTCCTCTCCAAACCTAACTGTAATGATATTTGATTGTATCATTACTGTGGTTTAGGTTTTAATGATTACTCTTAATTATTATTATTATTAGTATTACATAATTACATATACGTGTTATGTAATTTATGTAGTATAAGCATTTTAACTCTTGACACTGAGTTATGAGGTGTAATTGGTGTTTTATTACATGTTACATATGTTTTTAACTGTATATGTATATGTAATTTATGTTTTTATATGTTTTATTATATGTTACATGTGTTTTATAAGCTGTATGTACATGTAATTAGGTTTATAAGTGAAAGTTCAATATTATAAGTTAGTTTTGGGTACATGTATATGTACCCAGGGCTGACATTCCCCACCCTCAAAGGAGGTCATCACTTCTTTTCAGAAGGTTTATGAGCTCTTTTTTGTGCTCTGAAGTCTCTCAACGTTGTTTTGCCGTTGGGTACTTTATCAGCTGGTAGCCATTCATCTTCATCTGCACTTCTGTTTTTGTATCTTACAGAACGTGTTGTTGAAGATTACCATTGACTTGTATTGCTCTTTGCTTTATGATATGTGAGAAAATCTTATCTCCGTCAGTTTCAAACCTGATAGGAGTTTTCTTGGGTATTTCTCTGTCAGGGAATTTGCTCTTATCTGAAGCATGAAATTTTTTTATTAGTGAAA